GGCTGAATCTAAAAAGATTATTATTGAAAGTAAAAGGCACACAGTGAGATAAATGGACTGATTATATACATGACAGTATGAATCCAAACAGAACAGCACAATAGTAATTGCTACCCATCGAGCAAATGACCGAAAAATGGCTCCTTCCCAAAGAGCTTAAAACAAAAACTGAAGCTATTGTTGTTGATGATGATATTGGTTGATATTGGGGGGGGGGGTGGCTGTGTCTGATTAAATGGTATAATCAGATAATCAGAACAAGAACTGAAGACCTTGAGCTGACACCTTGGGGATGGTATGAAATGCCCATAACCCGATTCAGCGATAAAGGCTTGAGGCTCACCCCAGCTGCCAAGAGAATGAAACTCCTGGCACACGAACTGCCAGCCAGGGGGGTTGTCCTGCCCAGAAGTGCAGCATGAGATCTTGCACGTACAGATATAGGTCACCGTGTCACGGACAGTCATGGGACGCTGGCTGCAGTACCGTGTTGAAAGCGGGTGTGAAATAACTGTTTGCCAACGTTTATCCGTTATCTGAACCCAGCTTTTCTAGCATACAGTTTCTGGGGAAAATATTTACAAAAGCGACTGATGTAGATTATTGATAAGACCTTTCCATCAGGACTCCTCACAAATACAAACACCAGCAGCATGTGTCGTGCCTTGCTGAGCCTCTTCTTCTTTCGTTCGCTTAAAATAGATTATATATATCTGCTATGTTGTCTCTAGTATGAGTGTCACTGTCTATTAATAATATCTTATTTTTACCAATAGTCTTCCATCTTAATTTTGAATCTCTTCGATTTATAGTTTATCTCTTCTCTTGGCCACGCATTTTTCCGATTTATTATTATTTTTTCTAGCTTGACCAAGAATCTCTCCGCTCTCATTAATCTCCAATCTTGACACATCTTGACAAAGAATCTCTCCGATCTCATTAATCTCCAATCTTGACCCATCTTCACAAAGAATCTCTCCGATCTCATTAATCTCCAATCTTGACGCATCTTGACGAAGAATCTCTCCGATCTCATTAATCCTTCAACTTGACTAAGAATCTTTCCGCTCTCATTAATCTCTAATCTTCACGCATCTTGATCAGGAATCTCTCCGATCTCAATAATCCTCCAACTTGACTAAGAATCTCTCCGCTCTCATTAATCCATCACGTTGAAAAAGAATCTCTCTGCTTTCATTAATTCCCCATCTTGACAAAGAATCTTTTCCCTATCATTAATCCCGCATCTTGACAACAAATTGATCAGTTCCATCATTAATTTCCCCACTTGACCACGAATCTCCCCGCCCATTAGTTTTCCCTTTTGACTGTGGATCCCTCCGCTTCATCACTAATTCCCCATTTTGGCCACTAATTGCTCAGTTCCATCCTTAATGTCTTCTTAACCTGACCGCAAGTTGATCTTCCCTCTTGACTATTAATCCCTCAGCTGCATCACTAAATTACTAGGGCTGTACCGAATAGTGATTTTCACTATTCGGCCGAACACGAATAGCGGGACCAACTATTCGGCCGAATACGAATAGCGGGACCAACTATTCGGCCGAATACGAATACGAATAGTGTATAGTGTATAAAATATATCTTTAAAAAAAACATTCATAATGTCAAATGTACGCTGAACCTTTACTTCACATAAAGTAGCACAGAATAGTCATCTTCTTCTTTAGCATTCTGAGCCCTTGAGGTTTACTGCTGCAGATATCACTCGTCTCCATTCATCTCTCTGGCTGGCCTTATCTTCACAATCTGCATCCTTCATTGAGTCTGTGGTAACTAATAACTAGGATTGAAAGAATCCTAAGTATTATAACAAGTAACTAAACTTGGAAATTGTCACTGACATCTTAGTTAATGCAGGAAAGAATTAGCTTTCAACAAAACCAATAGTTCCATGTTGTCAGCATTAGGCCCGTGTATGCAGAAGCGGGTGTGGGGTAACTACTATTCATATTCGGCCCGACCGCAACTATTCGACCGAATACCGAATAGTGAATAGGTCCACTATCTGGCCCCGAAGCGAATACGAAGCGAATATTCTGTACAGCCCTACTAATGCCCCACCTGGACCACAAAGGTGGTATAGATTTACTTGGTCAGGTTTTACTGCAAACGCATGTTGTCAGTATCCGCCTGGTCTTTAACTATATCAACTCTGTGTATGCATCTTCCATTAGCCCAGTTAGTGTGATGAGGTTCGTATGTATGTACGTTTGTTTGTGGGAACCTTTGTGTGCGAGTATGTGTGTGTGTGTTTGCGCGCATGTGTGTGTATGTGTGTGTTTTTGTGTGTGTGTTGGAGTAGGCCTGACACTAAAGTTATATTTCCAAAATCCAGCTCTGGTTTCTACCCATACTTGATTCCAAACATGGATGCAAGCCTCATGTCTATTTTAGTGTAAATGAATAAGACCTTTTCCTCTACCGACAGAGGCGTCAGGTATTTTGCTGGTAAGTAGGTAGGTAAGATGTACCCCACCAGGACATCACACAACCGATAAACACCCGGTGACACAACATGTAACCTTGCGGATGAGGATCACCCGTGGAGAGGTCCCGGAAACCCCATTTAGCTATTAGACCATATCTAGTGTTATATTCAGGGGCCCCGGCAAAAGCTAGAGTGGTGCTTCAAATAACAAAAAAAAATTGCATTCCACATGGGGACGACTTCTTGACAACATTTTGCAGGCGTTTGTTATGTCCTATCTCTCCCCGCCCCTCCCCCTCACCCCAGCAACAACTTGTAAATACCCATTACTTAGTTTTTATCTGAAAACCCCGATCAAAATTTCATAACGATAATAGTACCCTTATGTTGTTTGTCTAAGTGTGTGCTTAAAATGTACGTGTGTAAGTATGGATTATACGTGTGTATGCGTATATGTGTGGGTGTTTGTCCCGCACGCAGCCGCTAAGTGCCTGTGCTAATTAAGCGGACGGGTTGTACCGATGGGGGAGATAACCCCAGATGGGGGTCAAGAATTTGGTGTCGAGTGATAACACCGGGGCACGAGACTTCTTCGGCGAGTTCACGTTGCCAACTTGCAGGCGATATCGGAATGAACTCGACGTCTACGCACACATAAAAACTAGTCGGAATTTGTGCTAACATTTTAACCCGTCTATGTTAGATACATTCCGAATTCGGGTTTTTCTCCTACTTAAAGTACTATGTTGCTGATAGAATTGGGTTCTGTTATCTGTCCTTTTGCCCAGCGCACTCGCTTTAGACTGTTATTTCTGTAATCTCTCACACGACTATTAACGAAAAAGTGTGCTGGGGTTAGGGAAATCTGTGTATATTAAAACTATGAAAGTTCAAAATTGTACAGTTTGAAGTTACCACAGACAATTGTATATCATGATATACATTTGAGATAGTTAAAGATGCTAGCAAGTTAAAATTTAACAGAAAAGAACTGCGTGACAACAAAGTGCCACCATGCGGATGATGATCACCCGTGGAGAGGTCCCAGAAACCGCTTTCAGCCATTAGACCATATTTATGGCCTGGCTATATTGCAGCCCCTGGCAAGAGCCAGGGTTGAAAAATTGTTTGTGTGTATATGTGTGTGCGCGCACGCGTGTGTGTATTTGTGTGTGTTGGAGTTTTGGAGAAAGAAAAACCCGAAAAATTCCATCCAGCAGGGGATGTCGGATGACAAATAGCATGGAGGGATCTCTATCTAACTTCTTATACCTTACTAGGATATCACACAAGCGATAAACACCCGATGACACAAAGTGCCACCATGTGTATGAGGATCACCCGTGGCGAGGTCCCTTATTGCGGCCCCTGGAAAAAGCCAGAGTAGGGCTTCAAATAACGAAAAATTGCATCCTAAAAAGGGGTGACAAGATGGCCTGGAGGGATGTCAATAGACGAACTAATACACGCAGGTGCAGATCGCAGATTGTGGAAAGGCGTGATCGCCTACGCCAGCCAAGAAAACACTTGATGATGATATAAAACAGAACTAGGTGGTAAACGTTTGGTTAAGGACTCTTCTAACAGCATCTCAGAACAGGGTGCGCACTCACCCTGGCAATCCAAAACATTGCTGAAGGTAAAGATGCTCAGCCGTGCAGACGTGGAAAACAAGGGGAGACTACCACATTATTTAACATAGAAAAACTAAACGGAAGTCAAAGTCTGATGGCAAGATCCCAAAGTCAGGTCGGTTTTCTTCGCGAACTAGGGAAGAGAACAACGGCAGAGTAGCAGCAGCAGCAGCAGATGTGACGAAACTGAGGGGAATCCGAGCTACTAAAGATGAACTGGCTGTGAAAGCAGATAGTGCTGGAGAATTGGCTAGAGAAAGTGAGATCGACAAGCTTGCCGTGACGAGAGCGACGTTCTGTAAAGCATCTGCAGATTGATAATGAAGGAACTCTTCTCGTACTGTTGGAATACTGAGTATATGATGCTAGTCCCATAAGCTTAGGCATTTAAAGTTGAGAGGGTCGACTTCATTCCACATGGGTGTATCCATTGTGCCTCAGTCTCCGTAAAACAGCTAGCCCAAAGCACTAACTCCTTACTTCCAGTTGTGATCTGTAGGGATTTCCGTATAAACTTGACTTGTGAGCCGAGCAATGTGGTTTGTAAAAAAAAAAACTGCCATTGACATGGCGCAAGGCAAACCGGTTGATCATTTCGCTCTTATGACCCCCCCCCCCTCCCCCAGTCCCCCTTTCCACCTCACCCCATAAAGTTAGCTACCTGCGTATGCCTTACAGGACGTTGCAGAATCAACCCCAGCATTTAGGGGGGGGATGGCTGGTGTGGTTTTGCTAGGCATATTTTCACGTCAGCTCCCAGTATCACTGTCTAAACCAATGCAAGTCAAATTGTCCTCCGCTAGGTTTAAACCCCGCACACTGGCATTACGAAGCGCGTACGCAACACCTAAGCCACAGACGCCATATTAAGTCCCGGAACCAACTCTAGGATGTTTCAACAACGCTGCACTTACCTTCACAAGGTAGATGGTTGATCCTTCATTTGCTGGAGCGATGGCTATCGCCGAGGCACAACCCAGGAAGAGAAAGAGCACCTGGGCCAGGAACTCGGCAAACACAGCCCTCCAGAGGTCCACGGATTTCAACTCAGACAAGTCTAGGATCTTTCCCGAGGGTGCCTGTCTGCCGAAGCGGATGGCTTCCAGTTTGTTGGCAATGTGAATGAATAGAGCTTCCATTGTATGATCGTTCTGCTGTTGTTTTTCGTTAGTAATCCAAACAAGTTAAAACTGATGTTATAAAGATGGTTTTCTCCTCTGCTTGTGTATGTTGTATGTTTGTATCCTGCGTAGACACTCCGGCTTCCTGAATTTTTCTGCGGAGAAAAAAAATATTGAACACAATGTTTTCCAGTGATGAATTTAAATTCGATGCATTGAAATAAACCATAAGCATTTATGTTGGATTTGTTCAATTTTCGTGCTTGATGTAACTATGTGGTACCAACCTGATAAAATACAGTGAAATATAAAGTAAGTAAAAATCCCTTTTCCACGCCTTTAGGCGTACAGGTCAAATAGGGCTAAACCTATATTTTTTTAGACCAGTCGGCACAAAAAGGGTGATGTGGTCAGCATGACGCCTTTACTTCCCGGGACTGCACCCGGTACCCACTCAATGCTGGGTCGACCTGGGAACCACGGTCATTTTTGAAAAAAGTCCAGCTTCACCAGGGAGCGAACCCGCGACCTTTCGATCCGCGGCGACCGTCTAGCCGCTCCGCCACGGCGACTCCCCACAGTGAAATATGCCTGGCAATAATTGTGCAGTGTTTTCTTTGTGTTTGCATTATTTTAAAAAAAAAAAGATACATACATACACACACGCACGCACACATGCACAGACACACACACACACACACACACACACACACACACACATATATATAGTTAATAATGTTGTTAATATATAAGAAGAAGGGAGTAGAGAATCACCAAACAGGCATCCACAAAGAATATGAACTGAAGAAATAAGGACGTGTATCTATCTATCTTCCTTTACCCCACCAGGGCATCGCACAACCCATAAACACCTGATGACACAAAGTGCCACCATGTGGATGAGGATCACCCGTGCAGAGGTCCCGGAAACCGCCCTCTGCCATTAGACCATATTTATGGCCGGGCTATATTGCGGCCCCTGGCAAGAACCAGAGTAGGGCTTCAAATAATAAATACATGCATCCCACAAAGGGATGACAAGATTAATATATAAGAACGTCTGGAAAAAAAAAACACTAAACAAACATGGACGAGAGGGACCAAAAACAGTGGATTGTGTTCGATTCATGATATAAAAAGGATTGCACATGATGGAATGAAATAGAGGAATATTGTGCGAGCCTTGTGTGACGTTTAATGGCACAATATGATGATGCTGATGACGACGATAATGATGATGACGATAATGACGAATACGACGACGATGTTCACTGATTACTGGTTAAAAAGTTAATTTCTTGGCACAGCGGGCATACAAATTGATACTCTGTCTACCGCAGCAAGGTTCAATCCCCAGTAAGGGCTGGGATTTTTTTCACATGGACTTGAACTTCTAGTAATTCCCCCTGGTTTCTGGGTAATGAGATCGGACGCCCGTGTGCATTGTTGCGTACGTAAAAAAAAAAATCCCTTGGCAGTTGGAAATCAAAAAGAGTAGCCTAACGGCGCTGCCCGTAAAAAAAATCCCTTGGCAGTTGGAAATCAAAAAGAGTAGCCTAACGGCGCTGCCTGGGAGTTAAAAATATACATAAAAAGGTATTTCAGGATCTTCGCCGGTGCTACAGAGCCTGTGCACTGTGTTGAGCTTCTTCGAACTCAGACTTGAGTTAAAAGAAGAATGGAGCACTAATGGGTTACTGCTTGTAGTGCCATGATGTTGATCCGTTGTTCAAACCTCAGACGTCAAACTTCGTCTACTGCAGCAAATGTCTTACACTGTGTAGATTCTAACTGTTGCCTTAGCATTTGTCCATAAACGGTGGTCAGAATGTCTCTCTTGTCCAGTACGAGTGGTCCTGTAGATGTCGCTTTTGCAGCAAACAATTCAGCTCGTTCATTCTTTCGCACCCCTGCATATCCCGGACAGTATATCGAACTGATGCTTGATATCCAGTCGTGCCACATTTGTCTATTTGGAATCTTCTGTTGTGCCATCGAAGAATCGGACACGGTGAATTTTATATAAATGTGTGTATATATGTATGTGTGTGTGTGTGTGTGTTCATAATGACGAAATAGCAACAAGTCGGTATATTATTTGAACAATTAAGTTTCATAGTTCTGTTATCTTCGTGTAGGTCCTGGAACCTCTTTGGAGTGGGGAAGAAGGCGAGAGGAAAGGAAACGGGGTGGAAACGACATATCTCTTTTTTTGCAAAGCATGTCGAAAGAGGCGACCAATTAAGGGTTTGCTGAAATCCTTATGTCTTTGACCGAAAGGTGCAGATTTCACAGCTTAGCTTAAGCCCCAACACATCGTGCCAACATTCCTTTTAAAGGCGAACCGAGAAGTAGAAGGCAAATGTTGAAAATCCAATGGTCCAATATTCTTTTTCGATTTTTCTGTCAGAAAACATATCAGAAGGCCGGTAGCCTTTATGAAAGCTATCGTTCAGTCCATATCTTCTCGTGTACCATACTGCAGTTTTGTCTCTACTATGGTTGGAACAGGCCAGATTGCGTCTCTGTTGTCAGCATACATTTGACAATGTTGAAGCACATGCTCAGCATTTTCGGGTGCTACGCTACAGGGACACGTCTCCCTGTTTCCTACACCGAAAAGTGTGAACATATGTTGACGAAGTCTGTTATGGTCCAATAAAAAAGTAGGAGTGTCGAGAGAGCTTCGAAAGTTTATGGACATCAGATAGTCAATACGTGCGGTTAGCAGATCATATGTTGTCTCAGTTACTTAGTCCGTGGTCCCATTAATATTCGCTGTTAGTACATGCATTGATTAAATGATGGCTGGAACGTTTAATTGCTTGACAAATCACTCAACAGAAAAGGCCGCTTTATGATTCTGTTTTCCCCCACATGTGTACAGTAAGTAAGTAAAGGACCCTTTTCCACGCCTTTAGGCCAATAGGGCATATAGGGCTAGATTATATTGTATAGACCAATCGGCACAAGATTGGTGATGTGGTAAGCATCCGCCGGCCGCCTTAACTTCCCGGGACTGCACCCGGTTCCCATTCAAGGCTGGGTGAACCTGCCAAGGTCATTTTTTAAAACAAAAAGTCCTGCTCCGCCAGGGAGCGAACCCTCAACCTTTCGTTCCTCATGCGAGAGTCTAGCCGCTCCACGACGGCCACTCCTCATATGTGTATACAGCATACATATATTTCTTAATAGATAGGATTTGTACAAAGCAATGAGACATTATTATACACGAAAACTAATAGAAATCCTCTAAAATTCATATCTGGATTTTAATTGGGGAGGGGACGGGGTTGGCAAAAAAAAAAGGGGGGGGGGGGGTCGGAAAAGGAAGGGGGTGGGGCTGCAGTCAAAAGTTTTAGGCATTAAAGTCCAGACCTTCCAAACAAACAGGAACAAATAAACTGATATGTTGTTTAATGAACTGTTGCAGACAGAGAAGTTAATACAATCATGCAGCGTATCATCTCATGAGACGTCAGTGTAGATGGATAAGTAATCGATATCCTACAGCAGGAAAACATTTTGACCACTGGTAAGAGAGAGGGGGAGACAAGTGAGATACAAATAGAAACAGACACATTGATAAATCGTCTGAAGAGAGACAATCAGACAGACGGGGGGCCGGGGGGGGGAGGGGGTTAAGTAGGCATGCAGACAGAGACAGACAGATTAGATTAGATAGATAGATAGATAGATAGATAGATAGATAGATAGATAGATAGATAGATAGATAGATAGATAGATAGATAGATAGATAGATAGATAGATAGATAGATAGATAGATAGATAGATAGATAGATAGATAGATAGATAGATAGATAGATAGATAGATAGATAGATAGATAGATAGATAGATAGATAGATAGATAGATAGGTAGATAGATAGATAGATAGGTAGGTAGATAGATAGATAGATAGATAGATAGATAGATAGATAGATAGATAGATAGATAGATAGATAGATAGATAGATAGATAGATAGATAGATAGATAGATAGATAGATAGATAGATAGATAGATAGATAGATAGATAGATAGATAGATAGATAGATAGATAGATAGATAGATAGATTAGATAGATAGATAGATAGATAGATAGATTATGATTGTGATGGTGGTGAGTTCTAAACAAGTTATAACTACCCCTCTTCTTCTTCTTCTTCTTCTTCTTCTTCTTCTTCTTCTTCTTCTTCTTCTTCTTCTTTTTCTTCTTCTTCTTCTTCTTTTTTTTCTACTTATTTTTCTTATTCTTTTTCTACTAC